ACGCTGTACTTCGTGCGGTTCATCATCATTTCCCTTCCCTCTACCCTTTTGTACATTCATGCTACAGTATAGATCTAAAGCTGCTTTTTGACACATATGAAACTGACTCGCGAGAAGGCGTCCAACAGGGTGACCTCCTCTCCTTTTTATCTTGTCAGACCTCCGCTTGTTCTCTTTTACATACTCTCTGCATCTTACAGTATGCACCTCGCATCCTTTCCGATTTTTTTAACAAAAGGGTTAATAAAAGCCCATCAACAATAGAAAATTATAAGTTTTGTTACCATCGCCCTTTCGACATTTTATTTACATTACAAGTTTATTCTGCTCTACTAAATGCTTACGTCCAAAATGATCAACACAGTGCTAACGTTTCAGAAAAAAAACATGTTTAAATATTATAATAATGAGAAGGAAACAGTTATAAAAATGCATTCAACCATGAAAAATGATGAGTATAACATTTACTATAAAAACTGAAAAAGAACATAAGTTGACTTGGATGATAAGAAGTTTACCTCGTGACTCGTATGTTTAAGTAATGAGATCTGATAACACAAGTTCAATTTATGCAACATAACCAGCAACTATTACCCTAGAAACGTGATTCAGTATACTATTCTATTATGGCTATTACCAGTTTACAATACTGTCAAAGATTCCCACCACATGATAATTTTCATTTACACAACAATTTTCATATATTGCTGATTTCCATACTCAACAGATAAGACTTTCTTCACTCAACAAGAAGAGAAAAGATTCTAACAAAAGGAGATTATCTGGAAATGTTCTGTAACGTACGTTTATGTTACGTTATGTAACGTACGCGAGTTAATCTTATACTCGCTCCAGTTCCAAGAATAAGTTTGGCAGTTAAAGAAAGGGTTTCAAGCTATACTTCTGACAAATGCCCCTTACATAAAAATATTGAAAGGTTTCGGAAGCACCAAAAACACTAGTTCTGAAACCGAGAAAACAAGTTTTGCTTCAGTAGCTTATAGAGGATTACAATTTTGAGATTTAGAAACCTAATGTTAACAACTTAAAAAAGTGTAGAACATCTAAAGTATTCTAAATGGCTGAATGGAATTATTTGCAGTTTAATTACAGCACTTTTCATGATATAAAAGTACCTGGTGTGTGTATATTATTAGTGATTTAGGAACAACTCTGATAGGTCGCGATGCGCATGGAATCATAACTGGCAGCTTCCAAAGTCATGAAGAACTGTAAGAAACAGCAACTCAAGGTTGTAGTGTTCGAAGAACCATGATTGCAAAGGTTCATTCTCCACCACAATTCCTGTTCCACCATAGTTCCTGCTCCACCCCAGTTCTTTCTATATCACATTTCCTACTTCACCATAGCTCCTGCTCCAACACAACCACTGTTTCAATGCAGATCCTGTTTCAAAACGGTTTCTGTTTCACCAAAACAACTACTTTACTACAGCTACGACTTTACAGGAACTTGTACTTCACAAAGCTTTTGCTCCACCACAGCTCCTGCTCCACCATAGCTCTTATTTCAACACAAATCCCGCCTCACTACACTTCTTCCTCTACCACAGCCCCTGCTGTGGTAAAGGAAATGTAGCAAGATATAATATGTCGTACCTAGTAGCCAGAACACACTTCTTGGCCTACTATGCAATGCCCGATTTGCCTAATAGGCAGTGAATTTTTTTATTTTCAATAAATTGCTTCCAATTAGTTTATTTAATTATTATTTTTATATTAGGAACATACATTATTGACTTAGTTGTGTTAGTTTAGGTTAGGTTAAGATAGGTTAAGTTCAGTCATATATCTACGTTAGTTTTGACTCAAATTTAAGAAAATTAACTCATACATAATGAAATTGATACCTTTATCATTTCATAAGAAAAAATTATAAAAATAAATTCAGGGAAACTTGGCTTATTAGGCAAATCGGGTCTTGCATAGTAAGCAAGTACTGCATTCTGGCTACTAGGTACAACATTATATATATATATATATATATATATATATATATATATATATATATATATATATATATATATATATATATATATATATATATATATATATATATATATATATATATATATATATATATATATATATATATATATATATATATATATATATAATGCTTTTTCTTCTCAGGAATAGAAACGCCATTCACTTGAAAAGAAAACGAGTTAAGTGTGTTGGAGAATGCTCTAACACATTCGAACAAGATTATAGAGAATTTGAGTGAATTTTGCATTTGTAAGAGAATTCGTTAAAAATGCACCAACTACAATCCATATTTGGACATGACACAAAAAAGTTCAAAGAGGAAGGCTGTCTATGCAGGTCTAAAAGAAGTGGACGACCACCAGAGATGGTCGAGCGGGTTCAGGAAACACTTTTGAAAATAGTTTTGCAAAAGATTCAAAACATTTTGTCTATTGAGAAAAATATTCATTGAATTACAAGTGTTTAACTTGTTCGGATTAATTTATCTAAAACTTTGTCATCAAATTTGATTTGGCTTGAAGGGCTTGTGAGGCTTGTTTCATATATCTTATGTAATTTGTATAAGTGATTTATAGTTAGAAGTTAAACTTTTATTCATAATATTATATTATTTTAATATAATAATATTATTATTCATTTTCTGTATTTTGTATTATGGTTATGCAAGTAGCTGCTATATAATATGCATAAATATTAGAAGATTTACTGCAGAATAAGACAAACCCCGGATGTAGTTAATCACCTTTTATGTCTCGTGTTGCTTATTTGCACTTTGATAGTTTTCTTGTTTTAAGTAACATTTGTTTTGAAATTGTACTACTTCCACTAAGTAACTGTGGAGAGTTAATATACTGAGCTGCAGTATACCTAGAGATTGTACTTTCTGAATGTCATACGATAATTCTGATTCTTTCGTGAGAATTCGTGAATCTTTTTGGCTCCATGTTAGTGCTTCTTCTCAAACATCTCGGATTGTTTATTTCGGAATTTTCAAACCGCCAGAGATTATTTCCGATTGCAAATATAAACTTCTATTGTGAATAATTAAAATATAAATATTTTGCCCTTTCATGACAATGTTAATGAAATTGTTATTAATTTAATCATATGAAAGGATAATGAGTAACACAAAAACTTTAGGAAGTAACTGAAGTAGCAAGAGACGAAGGAAAATTGGAAGAAGAAAAATTAAAAGGACAAATTGTGTTTGGTATATATATATATATTCTATATATAATATGAAAAAGGCTGCAGGAACGCGCACGCCATAGATCACTAAGAACTCTAAATGATCCGACTTGGATTCGAACCCATTACGTTCAGGATCACCCCCAAACGTACAGAGTACCGTGACCACAGCACCATTGGCGGTCATGGTACTGTGTACGTTTAGGGGTGATCCTGGACATCATTGGTTCGAATCCTTGCCGAGTCATTTAGAGTTCTTAGTGATCTATGGCTTGCGCGTTCCTGCAGCCTTTCTCAATAAATATATATATACCACTGCATTTGTTTGTATATCAATTTTTTAATACATAGTAATCAAAATACAACTTTAGAACTCCAGAAAGTATAACTCTGCTAATAATCGTTGCAAAAAATGGAATCAGTTTTCATTGAATCGTAGATTATTTACTAACCATAAGAGTGGAAAGTTTCCCCACATAAACGCAGCTGCTAGTCCTACCTTTAAGCACAGCGAGGACACCTGTCAGCCATGACACCTGTAGCCAACACGCATTTTTAAACTGCGTCTGAGGTCGGAGAGGCAATACTGCGCTGAACATATACATATAGTATATAAATAACAGTGACTACAGGGGAAGCCTAATCAAGCAGCGTAAATGCGCACGGCAGAAAGAGTATTATGAAGTTGCATTACAGTCCATTGCTAGGGTCACTACGCGTGTCGGAAGGAATCCTACAGTAGGAATTTATATTACCTAAATATAGGCTAATAATACTCTTTTTCTTGAATTAACATCCGCCCGATACGAGGTTTTGGAAGTCCATGACAGTAGCACAGTGGAGGCGGAGTCAGGACCTGACAAACCTGCCCCGAACCTGGAGAAGATTATCTAAGGGGTTTTTGTTGCCCTTGAACAACGCACATATCTCCTTGGAGTCCAGGAAACCCGCGACACCTTCACCCATGCCGTTCCCAGGGACTTCAAAATGTACTAAAACCAAAAACATCTACGCATACATCAGGCTATGAAATGCTGACAGTTGTATACAAATACACACCAGATATAAATATCGGTTTAGGTTACCATATAAATGGGAGAAAAGTATAATATCTGAGCTTCTGAATCAACAAAAAATCTTATTCAGTACTTAATTTTTGTTTCATTGCAAACAATTTCATGCGCACTTTATGCCAACTACTTAAAAATCTAAGTTATAATGTCGATGTTTAAATTAAGGGGTTCTTAGAAAATTATGAAAGAGTTTATATCTAGTAGCTTTGTAATTTTCACATGCTGAACATCTACCTGGTAGTACAGTTAAAATTGTTCTTAATTTCCTGTGTTAGATTTACTCAGTATCACAAATTTAAACCCAATAAAAACCAGGAATTAATTATTCTTAAATTTACTCTATTATGATTGTCACCCGGAAAGAGCCATGATGCCCGTCACCGGGAGAGAACGCTCACAGTCCAATCATACATAAAGGTTTTGTCAAGATAACCGGCCTGGCATTCCCTTAACATTCATAATTGTAAAAGAAAACTTTACCCTTTCGAGTTCCAGACAATTGAGAGGGGCGGGGGTCGTAGCTACGGTATTATCATGTTAAAATAAATACATTTAAAATCTGGATTACCATAGTTTACATGGCTATATGAGCTTGAAAAAAAACAAGATAAATTATTCAAAGCTTGTCATGTAAATCAAGTTCAAAACAGATGATGATTGCAATCACGTTGAATTCAATCTCGCCAGGAGGACACAACTCGTCATGTAGTTTGCATGCGTCATTTTTTTCTTCAGTTGCTAACTTCTTATTGTGATTCTGTAAGAAAAATTCAAGTAAATACCATATTTACTAAATATCTCCATAAGAAAAGAGGTAAAACTTTTTTACAAACTTACAAAACATTAACTACTTTGATGAGCTTTTCATTATAAAAAAAATATATAATCTGAAAAAGTTAATATTCATCTGAAAAGAATGTTGACAAAGATGATTAAATGGTTCTGAAAATAAAAATGTTCCTATGCTCTGTATTTATCTTCATTTGTCACTAAGACTGAATCCATATATATGTAAATGCATGAATGCCGGTCTGCATCATCCATGAAAGAATTTGCATATATTATTAATATTATTGATTTATTATTTATCTTAATAAATACATCTTCTATGTAAAGATCTCATCGCGTGAACAACGAGTTTGTTGTGAGCGTAATAAACACAGCGTGCATGTAAAAGTAATGATTTTTCAACCTATTTTCATATGAAAGATGTATGCAAATTGTGCTAAGTGGTACGAGTTAGCTAACACCGCCAATAATAGTTAATTTTGTCATACTGGGGGTCAAATGGACACCCCCATTACCGGTAATAGGAATATCGGGACTTGTCATGTGTGTCACGTCTCTCTAATTACTAATTAAAAATAATTATCAGAAAGCACTAGGACGACTGTTCAGCACTTGGAAGGGATAGGAGGGGAAACGATTTAGGGATTGGACAGAGGAAAGGAATGGTGTCTAACCACTTGGACGGTCGGGAATTGAATACCGACCTGCAATAAGAGACACTATCGCTCTACCGTTCAGTCCATGTGGTTCCACAATCACTAGTACAAGTTTATTGAAAATCCTCTAGTTGTAGTAATCATCAGATTTGGTGTGAGAGGTACTTGGACATTCTCGGCCTAGCATAACCTGACCGTACAGTGTTTCAATTTCGGGAATTATCATGCGTTGTCAAATCTCATCAGCAAGAAAGAGGCCTATAAGAATCCAATAATTAGGACTGGGATAAAATTTTCCAAAGATCCATTAGACTTAAACTTCGGCTTGATGCTGGGAGTATGCCTCGAGAAACCTTTATAAAGCCGGCCATCAAGCAGGGTGAATGTCTCTAGTTTTCATGTCTGGAAGTTGGAGTGTTAATACCCAAACAAGCTTCTGTTAACTATCACCAAACGTGAAGTAAAATGACTGTCTCCTTAAAGATCACCAGTAAAACTGCATGTCGTTGTGAAAGCTGAAGAGGGAGAGAACTAGTCAAGATCTTGTGTTGTAGAAGAACTAGTCAATAATTGCTTCATGGACCAAAAGCAGATCTACAGAACCATTGCAGGAGAGGCTACGGTGCTGAGTGCAGTCACCCACAGCCTATGTGTGGAACAGGTGTGTAAGACACCGCTGTGCTGCCTGTTGCAACCCGTTCTCGCACTTTCTTTAAGTCAATATTGACTTATTAAATAAGTGCGTATGTGACATACTAATTTATTGTGAATATTTTAGTTTACCTTGAAAAGCTTCATGTCTGTTACCCACCATCTCCCTCATTAACGTCATCTGTTACCTCGGGATATAAATTCAAGAACAAGGTGTGGAAGATCCTTTGTCATATGTAGTGTGTGTGTGTGTATGTAATATTTATCTACTGGAACAGCAATTGTCGGTCAAATTTGGAGTCAAGTGCTCAAGTTGTTATTGATTTCATATGTCATTATCATGATGTTTAGCCAATTTAATTCGTTACTCTCACTGCTACAGAGACTAGCTGGGTTCTAAGACTGTTGGGATGTGAACCAAACATCTTATGTGTAAGTTGACCAGACCACACACTAGAAGTTGAAGGGACGACGACGTTTCGGTCCGTCCTGAACCATTCTCAAGTCGATTGTGAATCTCTTCACAATCGACTTGAGAATGGTCCAGGACGGACCGAAACGTCGTCGTCCCTTCAACTTCTAGTGTGTGGCCTGATCAACATACTTCAGCCACGTTATTGTGACTCATCGCCTGCATCTTATGTGTAAGCTACTATGGGGGGGGGGGAAGTCCTCTCCCTTAATACAGTGAAAACGCCTGGTTAGTTCTTCCATATTTCTTAAATTAGCTAAGAAGGTAGAACACCTTTTATGTGTTACGTGACTAGTGTTCCCCAGCTGTCTAGATATTACCCCTGTGTTCCCCAGCTGTCTAGATATTACCCCTGTGTTCCCCAGCTGTCTAGATATTACCCCTGTGTTCCCCAGCTGTCTAGATATTACCCCTGTGTTCCCCAGCTGTCTAGATATTACCCCTGTGTTCCAGCATCTGTTGTAGTGATACCCGGATACAACATTGCTTCGAGTCGATGAAACCAGTATTGTGTTCAAATCGTTCTTCATGATCGTTCAAAGTAAACTACTTACGTTATTCATTAAGGTCGAAATGTTCATCTGAGAGATAGTTAGTATTTCATTGATAATTAAAGCAAAACAATTCCACATTTAAATGTAATTTGTTTGTGAAATTAAACGCAATTTGCCTCAAGACACACAGAAATCACAATAGCGTGATGCATCAAATGAACAAATCCACAAGGCGTGACGAGGATTCGAACCTACGTCCGGGAGCCTCCCAGACGCTGCCTTAATCGACTGAGCTACGACATGGTAAAAAAAAAAAAGTTGAAACCAGAAGTTCTACTGAACTTACTTGGATCCTGCAGCCTCTCCGAGACACAAACCAGGGTTTTACACAACTCCCCCATGCACTCGAGCTATATCAATAGGTCGTTCTACCTCTTCGCCCTTCATTACAACTATTAAGGCAGCGTCTGGGATGCTCTCGGACGTAGGTTCGAATCCTCGTCACGGCCCTTGTGGATTTGTTCATTTACCTCAAGACTTTCCTCTTTGCACACATTTCACGATCTTTTTTTGATGTCCCACAACTAGTTTCATCAATAAGCTTCATGTCGAACCTGTTCCAACAAAGCCTCCACCTCCCAATTAATAATTAAAGGTTTGACCAAATTACCTAATCGACCGGTATTGGCCATTGTCCCCAGTGCAAGATTCCCTTAGGGCAAAACTGTATATGAAAGGGGTACAAGGATTCTAGTTTGAGATTGTCCATTTGTTGACAATTCTCTCTGCAGTCGTAATAGCTTCCTGCAGAGTAGTTCCATTTAACGTGGGAATGTGTGGAACAATCACAACAATAGAGACGTGAACAGTGAAAGTTATGAACCCATCATGAGTGAAACGATAGAGTTCATATGGTGAATATGAATCATATGAACCATATTCATCTTTCAAATGATGAAAGCATGGCGAATATGATTTCAATGTGTTTATAACGTGTTTAAATAACAGCAAAATATGTTTAAAAGTATAAAATATTCCGCATACATATGATGTTTATTAATTAGCACTTAATATTATATACACTTCTACAGTCACCTGCTGACTTACCAGTTGTTGCTTCCTGTGAGATCCTTTGTAGCGTAGTTTTGAGCTGCTGAGTCTTCACGACGCAGAGGACACGACGTCACGCATATATGTAGCGGACTGTTTATCGACTCCCACAAACAAGTTATTGACACCTCCCTAGAGAATCACCTCGTACAGTGTAATAAGCATTGACAATCTTTGACATGCCTTATTTTTTGGCATCACCAGTTATATCACAATTGTTCCTGGCAACGAATTTATAGCCAGAAGTCTTTAAAACTTGCACTGAACGGGGAAGGTTCCGAACTGTTCTTGCCTTGAATACAAAGGAAAGCAGGGGAGGGCTAGGGTAGGGAGGTCCCCATATAGCATCTCCAGCAAAGGAAGCGCAGGACTCCAGTAGCCAGCATGAACTGGAGAAAGGTACGGAAGGGTAAGGAACACCCGGACACACAACAAGTAAACATCAGCATTCACCGATTGCCACCACTCTCGCCCCAGGACTCTAGAGAATATAAAAGCACCAGTACACTGTGTTGAAGAAGATGAAGGAAAGCGGGAAGATTACTCTGGAATACTTGTCGATAATGTTAACATCTTTGATAGTGGGGATGGCGCCCTTGATGGCCGAAGCTCCTTTTTTGAGGGAGGAGATAACGCGCTTCCTATTGGGGGCTCTTGGGGCGTGGATGCTAGAGCGGGTCGGAAAGGAGTAGTTCCTGTTGATCCGGAAAGACGGTGGGAACTTGATATCTTGCAGCGATCCTTCGCTAGAGAAGAACTTGGAATTGTGTCGTTGCCTGAAAGTACAAAATTCATTCTCAAATATTTGCAGATACTTGATTGATTAAATTATTCACAGTAATTTAGAATTAATACATCTCTCATGAACGTTTTTAGATATAGAAAGATAAACAATATGTAAAGTGTGTATTAACGAGTGGTTGTTATACATCACCGAGTAATGTATAACACTTCTCGCAGTATTTATTGAGAAATTTTAATGATTTTTTATAATTATATAAATTGCATTTTTAATTAAAAAAAGTCGGGCTGTTTTTTGATCTGCCACACATCTTAACCTAAAAAAGGCGTACGAACCCAAGCAACCCACCTAACTTACCACTTTGGTGTATACAAAACGTAGATATTTATGAGCCGTTGCTTTCCCTATTAGGTTATATATGTAAAGTTGGTTACAATAACGTACATACCGTATTAGGTGAGCGGTCGTGGTGGTGGTGCAGTGATCAGCACACTTGGGTCACAACCGGAAAGCCTCGGATTCAATTTCCGGGGCAGGAATTGTTCACCTAGTTGGTCTAGAGAGCCTCCACTGGCCTAGGGCAGCCTCCACTGGCCTACGGCTATATAGCACTGGGAAGGGATCAAGATAGAGATATGGGATGGGATTGGGTGAGGAGGAAGAATGGTGTCTAACCACTTGGACGGTCAGGGAATGAACGCCGACCTGCATGAATCGAGACCGTCGCTCTATCATCCAGCCCAAGTGGTTGGGAGTCCATTCAAAGCAGTGGGTAAGGGCTCGACGAATACAAGCGTTGAGGACACTGGCTTTGTTTTTTTGGGATACGTGGGCGACATACTCACCTGATAGACGGTATGGGTGACAGGCTCACCTGATAGACGGTATGGGTGACAGGCTCACCTGATAGACGGTATGGGTGACAGGCTCACCTAATAGACGGTATAGGTGACAAGCTCACCTGATAGACGGTATGGGTGACATACGAATATCCTGCAGTTCAATAATTTCTTCATTCGCTGCGATGCCATCCGCCTTGATAGCTGGGGACTGCTTATTCTGTTGGCCGTTGCTCTCCTTCATCTTCTTGGCCTTCTTCTTGGCCCGCTGGCCCCAGTACGTGTAGTTGACGGCGGCGTACTCAAGGAGCGCTGCGAACACGAACACGAAGCACATCACCAGGTAGATGTCGATGGCCTTGACGTAGGAGATCCTGGGGAGTGAGGACCTCACGCCCGTGCTGATGGTAGTCATGGTGAGGACGGTGGTGATGCCTGGAACACGAGCGTCGGGGTCAGGTGTTTGGTTCACTTAGACTTTGTTGGTTCATCAACACACTCCATAGCAATATGTGAAGTGTTCTTATAGTGTTATTAGTGGTGTTGTAGGAGAGAGGGGGAACAGGGGAAACCATGGGAGGAATGAGAAAGGAGACAGGAGGCGAAAAGGGAAAGGAGAACAGCGGAAGAGAGCGGGAACAGGGAATGAGAGGGGGATGGGGAAGGAAAGAGACGGAGAAGAGGGAAAGAAGAAGGGTGGAGGGAGAACTATGAGGAGAAAGTGCCAAGCCATTACGACTATATAGCACTAGGAAGGGGTCAGGATAAAGATTTGGGATGGGATGGGGGGGAAGGAATGATGCCCAACCACTTGCACGGTCGGGGATTGAACGCCGACCAGCATGAAGGGAGACCGTCAGTCTACCGTCCAGCCCAAGTGGTTGCACGTGGAGGAGGAAGAGTTAAACGTGGACACCACCAGGTCCCCTCATTTTGTAATCAACACCTATAAAATTAAATGAATGTTTGACTGAGATTGGAGAGCAGACGTTTAAGGCTAGCCTCACTCAATTTTCCAAGATGAAGCATGTTGGGTAGGGGAGTGTCGAAGGCCTGTCGGTTTCGGCACAAGTGAAATACTTAAAGAAATATCAACAATTATAGTAACCCTTCACGCAGTAGTGGTTTGGGGGTCCACTACCGCCCCACGGTATGAGTTTCGGGTCCACTACCACCCCGCATGATAGCTATGGAGACCTTATCGCCTTCGGAATGGGTAAGAACTCCACCACCGCCCACGAAATGGGTTTGGGCCCACTACCGCTTACAGGATGGCTTTAACTATGTCCAAAGATCTTGGAAAGGGATGCGGGGGTAGGAGGGGGAGGGGAATAAGAATATGGAGTTGAAATTCTAGAAGAGGATATGCTTGAAAGTTCGGTGGCCTGTTCACCGCCATACTTGATGCCATACTTGTTGGCATCAAGTATGGATCACAATGTGGAGCCTGTTGTTGGTGCTGCTGAGTTTTTCTTCTTCACCAGAGGGCTTGTGGTGTGACGGTTGGCACCTCCTCCTGGTGTAGGTGAGGTGCTGTGTCTGACTTGGAGGAGGCGTCTTCCCGTTAGAGGTGATGCAAGTCTTGTTCAGTTACCCATCTGACTGTTCATGTTCTCTTGCTTGTCGTGCTTGTTCTTTATTTGCCTCTGATTCCGTTCTCTCTTCCTGAGCATTCTGTTGATGATGTTGATGCTAGTCGACCAGGCCAGTTGGAGGCCTGGTCGAGGACCGGGCAGCGGGGACACTAAAAGCCCCGAAATCATCTCAAGATAACCTCAAAATAGCCAGGTATGGAAGAGTTTTTGATCCACTACCGCCTGCACGATGGGTTTCGGGTCAACTACTAGAAATGGACCAGGGGTCATTACTGCCATGGGTCCAGGAGGACCATTACTGCCATGGGTCCAGGGGCCATTACTGCCAAGGGTCCCGGGGGCCATTACTGCAAATGTTCTTAATATTTTTGCTTTAGGAAGAATGGAAGGTAATATATCTGAAACATATAACTTGATCTCAATGTTATGTAAACTCTATATAATCTTAGCAGTAATGTCACTGAACTTAAGTGCATCGTCTTCTTGAGGAATAAAAATAAGGAGAAGAGAGAGAGAGAAAGAGAGAGAGAGAGATTCATCACACACACATACACACGCCTACCAACCATTCGTTTTGTCTGGTAACTTACCCAAAGCCACTCTCGCGGAGGTGGCTTCGTGGTTGATCCAAAAGGACACCCATGAGAGCATGACGATGAGGATGCTGGGCAGATACGTCTGGAACACAAAGTACCCAATGTTGCGCTGTAGGTTGAAGCTGATTGAGAGACGGCGGTAGACCCCCGTGGCTAGCTCTTCCGTGCGGTCGTTAGCTTCGTAGCCCATGATGGTAAACTGGGGCAGTTCGGCCTCCTCCACTCCCACCACAGGGATGTCCTTCCAGTACATCACTACGTCCGCTACCGTATACCCGTCTGCGGAGAGTAATTAAGATGTATTGACCACATACCTCGGCTCTCATGTGGCCATCGTAGTAAGAAATTAAGAACTATCAATAATAGATTAACCACCGAAATATTTTTACTGAGGTGATCTTTTACAGGTGAATAGTTTAAAGAGGGTAAATTGGCCCATGTTCCCGAGACAAAATAACTTCTCAATTTATGAAGAAATGGTAAATTTTCGAGGTAATGGAATAAAAATCTGATAAACAGTCGGAAGTTTGAAGATTGAGAAAAGGAATAAGGGAAGATGGGAGTGATGGAAGCATTAAGGAAATGAAAGATAGACCTAATGAAATACAGATGGAGGGTGGAGAATACCGCAGGAGGGCAGGTAACTGATTTAAGATACAAATATTAGTGTGTGTTTAGAAGGTTTTAAAAGCACATACAGCCTTAAGCCTATAGACCTATAGAGCTAGAAACAGGAAAACGGTTTTAGTTAAAAAAAAAAATAGCACAGGAAACTTTGTTAGTAAAAAAATGTAAATATAATTTTTGATTTACATTTATGATTCTGTTTAGTTCATGTTAGTTCATAGGGGCCTGGTAGCCTGGTGGATAGCGCGCAGGACTCGTAATTCTGTGGCGCGGGTTCGATTCCCGCACCAGGCAGAAACAAATGGGCAAAGTTTCTTTCACCCTGAATGCCCCTGTTACCTAGCAGTAAATAGGTACCTGGGTGTTAGTCAGCTGTCACGGGCTGCTTCCTGGGGGTGGAGGCCTGGTCGAGGACCGGGCCGCGGGGACACTAAAGCCCCGAAATCATCTCAAGATAACTCAAGAAGATGTTTAAGATTTTGTATGACCATAACTACATGCACTAGTATACAGCACTTCTCAGCCTTAAACACCTTGTATTATCTTCAGCCTTATCAACCATATCGCTTCCTCCTCTTCAGCCTTAACAACCACACGCCATCCTCTTCAGCCTTAAAAGCATTTCACCCCTCTCGGTTTTAACTGTTACCCTTCCGAGTCATCCAATGGTGAAGATACGAAAACAGTACGGGAAATATATTCAGAAGACTCAAAATCACTTCAAGACGATCAAGAATGGGGTTTGAAATAGTCACAAGACTCACAGATGCAGTCTAATGCTGTCAAGTGCATGGTTTGCATGGCTTGGTTATGAGTTATAGTACGTCAGCAGGATGGTAATGAAATTGCCAAGTCTGATTGCCAAAAAGATTTGAGGTTTATAATTAGTTATTCTGTAAAGACAAAAATCTATGGATAAATGTTCGAAATAGGGCAAATAGGACACTGGGATATATTTCTAGAAGCGTTAGTAATAATACTTTTGTTGTCATTCTTCAGCTACATCTCTCTCTTGTGAGGCAACATTTACATTATGCAGTTCAGTTCTGGTCACAATACTATGGAATGGGTATAAATTCACAAAAACGCATCCAGCGTTAGATGACAAAGTTAATTCCACAAATTAGAAACCTTCGACATAGAGACTGAATAAGCTTAATTAACATTCTATAGAAAGTTTGGGGTGACGTGGCTGAGGAGTAAAATTGAAGGGATATGCATGACAAGGGATACATTAATAAGAAATTCAATATATAAACACATAATGGAACACGAAACATTAGATATAAATTGGATGTTTTGATTTAGGAAAGACCTGGGTAAATGCTGGTTCGGTAACAGGGGTGTGGATTTGTGGAACCAATTACCGGGTAACATAATAGACGTAGGATTCCATGATTCTATCAGGGGCAGGTTAGATATATATATTATTGAGTTTCGGTGGAATAAGAGCTTCCGCGTAAGGGCCAATGGCCTTTGCTGTTTCTTTGATTCTGATGTTCTTAAAAACATCCCTCAACCAGTTTTTCCATCATCGTCTCTTCTACTAGCCCCACCACATCTACCAGCCACCACATTATCTACATCCCTAAATCTCATCGACAATCTTCCACCTTATCTACCTCTTTCCACCTTATCTATCGTCCTAAACCTAATCAACCAGCCTCCACCTAATCTTGTCTCCCACCCTCCTTTTTATTTACCAACCTCCATCTTATCTTCCACCCTCTACCTTGACTACTACGCTCCACCTTATCTAGCACCCTTGAGGACGGTGCAGCCTCTCAAGTTTTAGTCTGCGCCGACAGAAAGTTAGGTTTAACATTTTGAATGTGTAAAATAACTAGGTGGTATGATGTTCTGCATCGTCAGTAACTACCTTCATGCACTTCAATGGTCACCAGCAACCATAACTACCATACTGCTCTTTAATGATCACTCTCGGCTATAACCACCACCCTGTTCTTCAGTGATCATCATCAATCATAACCACCACCCTGTTCTTCAGTGATCACCATCAATCATAACCACCACCCTGTTCTTCAGTGATCACCATCAATCATAACTACCACCCTGTTCTTCAGTGATCACCATCAATCATAACTACCACCCTGTTCTTCAGTGATCACCATCAATCATAACTACCATACTGCTCTTCAATGATCACCATCAACCATAACTATCATGATTTTACCCATCCCCAGCATCCTCCATCTCTACTTCAATTGTTACCATTAATCATGTGTATCACGCTCTTCAATGATCACAATCAACCATAACCACCATCCACTTCAATGATCACCTTCGCTCGTCAGCCTTAAAAAATATCCTTCACATTCAGACTTAAATACAATTATGAGTTCAGCCTAAATAGCCACCTACCCATACAGCTCCACTTTCCTCTACTTCCCTAGCAGCCTTCACCTTCATTTTAGCCATCCCCAGTATCTCTAATCGTCACACAAAGCAACTACCTTGATCTATACCATTTCCAGCATCCTACATCTTCACCCTCAGCATCCACCTTGATTTTAACCATCCTCGACCCCCCACCTAGACCTTAACCATTCCAAGCATCCTCCATCTCCACTTTTATCTTAACCATCTCCATCCTCCGAGTTTAATCATCCCCACAATCCTCCATCTAAATTTTCTGCATCCACGTTGATCTTAATCATCCACAACATTCTCCACCTCTTTTTCATCAGCAGCTTCAAGTTTGATCTTAACCTTCTCCTCCAATATCCATCCTCTCCTTCCTCCACTAGTGGGATTCTGGAGGCTGTTGGGGTCATCTTCGTGGACGAGCCTGCAAATTTTCAGCCTCCGCTGTGAAGCCATTATTATGGAAATGAAGAGGAGAGGGAAAAACCTGGCATTCTGAAAATCATTTTTATAGAATTGGGGGGAGACTGTATTTCGTATTCTCTCTCTCTCTCTCTCTCTTTGGGCTGATCAGATGTGTTGACAAGACTGAGTTAGAATACAGAAGAGGGTTGTATTATTGTACGCCTCACGGCATTTAATTCCGTAGTCTCTCCTCGTAACTCATACCCATCAGTTCGGGTACTAGTCTGGTGGCAAATCTTTGTACCTTTTCCAGTTTAGTCTTGTGCTTGATTAGATATGGACTCCATGCTGGAGCCGCATACTCCAAGATTGGTCTGACATATGAGGTATACAAAGTTCTTTAAGATTCCTTACACAAGTTTATAAAGACCGTTCTTATGTTAGCCAAACTGGCATATGCCGCTGATGTTATCCTCTTGATATGGGCTTCAGGGGACAGGTCTGACGTGATATCAACCCCCAGGTCTTTCTCTCTCTCTGACTCTTGAAGAATTTCATCTCCCAAATGATGCCTTGTAACTGGCCTCCTGCTCCCTACACCTATCTTTATTACATTACATTTGTGTTTGTGTGTGTGTGTGCGTGTGTGTGTGTGTGTGCGTGTGTGTGTGCGTGTGTGAGCTAGCATTCGGGAGGAACCTCGATCCACACAATCAGCACCTGGTGAGGCTGTCCTGGTTCCTCGTTTCCTTCCCGGCTCCATGAAGTAGGTGAAGCGTGCTGATAACTCCCCCTTTCACCAGCGGATATATATATATATATATATATATATATATATATATATATATATATATATATATATATATATATATATATATTATATATATATATATTTATATATATATATTTATATATATATATATATATATGTCGTACCTAGTAGCCAGAACGCACTTCTCAGCCTACTATGCAATGCCCGATTTGCCTAATAAGCCAAGTTTTCATGAATTAATTGTTTTTCGACTACCTAACCTACCTAACCTAACCTAACCTAACTTTTTCGGCTACCTAACCAAACCTAACCTATAAAGATAGGTTAGGTTAGGTTAGGTAGGGTTGGTTAGGTTCGGTCATATATCTACGTTAATTTTAACTCCAATAAAAAAAATTGACCTCATACATAATGAAATGGGTAGTTTTATCATTTCATAAGAAAAAAATTAGAAAAAATATATTAATTCAGGAAAACTTGGCTTATTAGGCAAATCGGGCCTTGAATAGTAGGCCAAAAAGTGAGTTCTGGCTACTAGGTACGACATATATATATATATATATATATATATATATATATATATATATATATATATATATATATATATATATATATATAATATATATAATATTTTTAAATATGACCTAAAAAGTAAGATTAATAATTCTAACACGAATTTTCTCAATATTACTTATGTTTCTTTTCACTGTTGATGGTAATTGAAAAATCAATTCTCCAAAATTAATTTTTATTTCTAGTCTGACGCGACACTTGAACGCGTTTCGTAATAACTTATTACATTTTCAAAGACTTTTAGTTTACACACACACAACTATAACCTGCAAACACTAAACAGAGTTCTTACTATGCTATGATTTAAACAGCTTTCATTATATTTTATACCCGCATTTTGGGTGAGGACCTCACCCAAAATGCGTATAAAATAAAATGAAAGATGTTTTAAACATAGCATAGTAAGAGCTCTGTTTAGTGTTTGCAGGTTATAGTTGTGTGTGTGTAAACTAAAAGTCTTGGAAAATGTAATAAGTTATTACGAAACGCGTTCAAGTGTCGCGTCAGACTAGAAATAAAAATTAATTTTGGAGAATTGATTTTTCAATTACCATCAACAGTGAAAAGAAACATAAGAAATATTGAGAAAATTCGTGTTTAGAATTATTAATCTTACTTTTTCATCATCGATTTTAAGAAGACTTCAAATTTATACAATATTGTATATTGAATAAAACCATTTAGATACCAGGAAATTGAAGAAAATGTAACTATCATTCGTGCTATTTACAATAAATCTATGAACTATTTAGAATGTTGATATAAATTTCAGATAATTATAGTATTGTAATTTTAAAAATAAATACAAGGAAGTCATATTTAGTGACTCTTCAAATATAGTCTGACGTTGATTGAATATGACTGATAAGAAATTTAAATGTTCGTCTGCAGTACGTTCTCATTTCTTAAATATTTTTACACGCCATCCTAAATATAAAATTGACATGTAAATTCGTGTGGTTGTCGATCATATATAATATATATATATATATATATATATATATATATATATATATATATATATATATATATATATATATATATATATATATATATAATATATAATGCATCTTCATTCCTTCTGAAGATGTGTTAATATACGAAAGTACTTAAGGAAATTCCTGTTTCAATTCTTCGTCCGTGGTCTGACACTCTATATATATATTATTGAGAAACTTATTATAATGCTGTGGTACTTGAATGAAGGTGAAAAACAGACCCAATGCATAAGTGAACATGTTTTCCACATTTATTGGATCTTTTCTTCATCTTCACTAGTTTATTACTGCACTTAATAATATATTAGTGGAAGAATGTAATATTATTATTTCACCTAAAATCTTTAGGTGTAACTTACCAGCTGTGCGATGCTGCCACTTTTTCTCTCTGATACTCTCTCCTTTACCGTTCTTTAATATTGCTTTGCCCATTCCCACTTTCATCTTATACTTCCGCAATCTATCTTATCATCCATCCTCACTCTATATATATACATATATCGCTTGTTCTTATCAACCTTCCTCTCTCTTTCTCTCCCTCGCGATTTCTCTTATCATCCCGTTCTCCCTCCACCGACTCATTAACTCACAACTTTCAATTTCCACGGTGCAGTTTTGGCTGTCTAGAGGGTAGTAGTGGAGGTCCATCATGCAAGCGAGGGTTGTGGTGAACCGCATCCCGTACGTGATAGACCCGTCACCGTGAAGACGAACCATCTTGTTCTTTTCAGTCACATCGTGGAGATAACTAAGAAGAAAGAAAAGGAATTACACAATTATTAGGGTAAGGAGTTAAAAAACGAATAGAAAACGTAGCATTGTTGTTTCTGGAGGGGAGACTATAAACAGAAATGGGAAGGACACAATAATTTATTGTATAAACAGCATTATGAAACTTCATGTACAAGAGAGTTTGAGAGATTGTTAGCCGGAAACTAAGAATATAAACGTTTAAGAGAAAATACCAACCATTAGGATATGAAAAATATATATATAGCTTCAATTAGGTTAAGATACTAGACGTTTCGGAGTATCAAACTCCATCATCAGATTGAACACCAAGTTTAAATTACTTATATCTAATTGTTAACATGAAAAATGTATATATAGTTTATATATTGATATATAATTTATAATTTTCTAAATTATAATTATAATTTATATATATATATATATATATTTATATATATATATAAAATATATATATATAATATATTTATATATATATAAACATTTGTTAATATTATTATTTAATGATTTATATATTCACTAACGAAAATTTTAGAAACAAATGTAAACATTTGACAATTGACAACAATAGGTTAAATTTCTTTTATATAGATTAGTAGTGTACAAAATCTGCAAGCTACTTGCACTTCACTTAATGTCGCTAACCAACCAGAGATGATGGCTATATACATCTCTGGTACATCAGTGGTCTGTACAAATGTATAATGTATTCAAATATATAATTCAACTAAAGAGTATAAACAGATTTCATTAAAATTCACTCCAATTCCAATTAAAATTCATCATTTATAAAATAATAGCTTTAAGACCCATTATAAGATGTACACAAGAAATATTTAAAAATCAGTTAAAGATAGTTGCACAGCTTGTAATAAACTCTTTAGTTCACTCCTCAGTCCATACAGTTTTGCTTCGTTTGAATTTAACCATCTCTTGCAATATTTAAATTTGTGAATGATTCGGGAAAAACAATTTAAGCTTATTATGTCTAGGCTATGAGAGTACCCTGGGTGCTACATGGAGAGTACCCTGGGTGCTACATGGACAGTACCCTGGGTGCTACATGGACAGTACCTTGGGCGCTACATGGACAGTACCTTGGGTGCTACATGGAGAGTACCCTGGGTGCAACATGGACAGTACCCTGGGTGCTACATGGACAGTACCCTGGGTGCAACATGGACAGTACCTTGGGTGCTACATGGAGAGTACCCTGGGTGCTACATGGACAGTACCTTGGGCGCTACATGGACAGTACCTTGGGTGCTACATGGAGAGTACCCTGGGTGCAACATGGACAGTACCCTGGGTGCAACATGGACAGTACCTTGGGTGCTACATGGAGAGTACCCTGGGTGCAACATGGACAGTACCCTGGGTGCAACATGGACAGTACCTTGGGTGCTACATGGAGAGTACCTTGGGTGCTACATGGACAGTACCTTGGGTGCTACATGGACAGTACCTTGGGTGCTACATGGACAGTACCTTGGGTGCTACATGGACAGTACCTTGGGCGCGACATGGACAGTACCTTGGGTGCTACATGGAGAGTACCCAGGGTGCTACATGGGCAGTACCCTGGGTGCTACATGGAGAGTACCCTGGGTGCTACATGGACAGTACCCAGGGTGCTACATGGACAGTACCCTGGGTGCTACATGGACAGTACCCTGGGTGCTACATGGACAGTACCCCTGGGTGCTACATTGAGACTACCTGAGGACACACATTAGCTGCCAGATCGTTATTAATTAAGTTACCTCGGAGCTCGCTTCCTGCCTAGCCTCGTTCAGAAGATAATTGTCCTACCCAGCGGAACCAATAGAGACGGGAAGGGAGTCTGGGGAGAGGGGACAGGGTGTGGAGGTGTGAGGGGATTGGGGAGTGATAAGGGGGTAGAAGTTGTGCGACTGCAGCAGTAGGGAGGTGCGGAAGATAGAGAGACCAAGGAAGTCCTTGGAGGGTTGGCCTCCTCTCCCGGTAGGACTCAGGATAGAAGCTTCGTGGATAGAAGCACAGGCAGTATAAGCCCCAACTAGGTGGTGGAATGGATTAAATATAGATTATAGTAGGCGTGGGGGCAATCTTGAATGACTTCGAACATATCCCCATTCAACCCGTCCTCTTAAAAATAACGTCACTTTTGGCTCGTATGCGCGCTATGGCTAAATTTGTACGTAACTTGAAATGAAATCGACTCACAAAAGTGACGTACTGTTCCGTTTTCTGTTTGAGTCGTCCGGCTTACTCGGCCAGCTTAGAAAAGGAAACTTTCCATTAACGTTTTTCATAACGTTTTGAAACTTTATGAGAATTTCCTGCCCACCTAACCTATCAGAGGACCCTTAACTTACTGTCGTTGAAAAAAAAATCCCAAATTTATTTTCATTTTCAAATTACGTCTATATTCTTTAGCGTGTGCCAAGTTGGCAATAATCTTATTGAACACGCTCATATGAGTCCTTGGAAATTTTGAGCAGCAGGTTATAATTTATTATTATTATTGTTATTATTATATATGTATTTAACCATTTATAAAGGAGAAAACTAAGAAAATGCTTGAAAGCATTCCCGAAGAAATCTAGTTATCACTGACTCCTCTGATTTGTTCTAAATTATTTAGCTTCAGGAATTATGTTATTACTAACAATTAATTCCCAAATAGTCAAATTAATGACTTAGAAATGAAAATAATGAATAATATTAATAATAATTTATGAGAAAATCCACCCGGGCTGTGAGGTGGCTCGAACCTGTGACCCCGGCATTGCCAGTCGTGTACTCTACCACTGGATCTAGAAATCCGGTTGCAGGACTTTTGTACAAGTCTTCGATGGTTCAGTGGCAGAGTACACGACTGGCAATTCCGAGGTCGTAGACCCAACCACTTGGGCTGGACGGTAGAGCGACGGTCTCGCTTCATGCAGGTCGGCGTTCAATCCCCGACCGTCCAAGTGATTGGGGCACCATTCCTTCCCTCCCGTCCCATCCCAAATCCTTATCCTGACCCCTTCTCAGTGCTATATAGTCGTAATGGCTTGGCGCTTTCCCTTGATAATTCCTTCCTTCCTTCCGAGGTCGTAGGGTCGTCCCACCTCAAAGCCCTGGTTGATTTTTTCATTGATATATATCACGTTAGTGTGATTTCTGTGTGTTAATGTTTTCACTTATTATCTTGTTTCAATGGGCAATTTGAATTACTTGAGAACATGAGTACATACTTGACCTGGTCTACGTGTTATTTGGGTTCACCTGTTATAATGAGTCAATTTACCTGCTCTTATCATTAGCGAAAAAGGTGTCTGGAACCCAAATCTTCTCGGCGAAGTCCCCTGGAAGAGTGAGGAGTTCGTCGCTGGAACTGAAGGCTAGTCTCTCGTCCTTCCAGTACTGGTTGAGGTACATGGTGATGGTGTAGTCCTGGAATGGTAAAAAAATATATTCTGTGAGTAACTTTGTGACTGCTGAAAATGTGATGGGGTTCGAAAGGAAAGGTTTTCGACTCCTGTAATGAAATTTCAAACAGTGTGAAGGGAGAAAATATTTAATTACATGGTGGTGGTGCAATTCTGTACAGGAACAGAAGGAATAAATGTTAATAATTTTATGATACATTATTTAGCTTCCGAGTGACTAGAGCGCAATTGTTAAATACCCGGATAAAAGTTCCAAAGATAACATGGCCGAATTATGCAAAAATTTCCTTCATAGTAATTTATGGACCTTGGTTAATACTGAGGTTTGCAGCCTCTGTTCTCGATTTAAAAAGCGTTGTGTTCGAAGTGATTAGGCCTATCTTGAGGTTATCTTGAGATGATTTCGGGGCTTTTTTTTAGTGTCCCCGCGGCCGGTCCTCGACCAGGCTTCCACCCCCAGGAAGCAGCCCGTGACAGTTGACTAACACCAAGGTACCTATTTTACTGCTAGGTAACAGGGGCATAGGGTGAAAGAAACTCTGCCCATTGTTTCTCGCCGGCGCCTGGGATCGAACCCAGGACCACAGGATCACAAGTCCAGCGTGCTGTCCGCTCGGCTCCTGCCTAACCGGCCTAACCAGGGTCAGGACTCAACAATCGTCTTTCCTAATCATGTCGTCATTGTTTACGCTTAATAAACAGTTTATGAGCATAGAAACTCCGCTACCAAAGGTTATTATTTTTTTAAACAACCCCGAAAAGCATCGAAGCTCATTAACTGTTTAATCTCTCTCTCTCTCTCTCTCTCTCTCTCTCTCTCTCTCTCTCTCTCTCTCTCTCTCTCTCTCTCTCTCTCTCTCTCTCTCTCTCTCTCTCTCTCTCTCTCTCTCACTCTCTCTCTCTCTCGCTTTTTCTCTCTCGCTTTTTCTCTCTCTCTCTCTCTCCTCCCCCCCCCCTCTCCCTCCCCCCCCCTCTCTCTCTCCCCCTCTCTCTCTCTCGCTCTCTCTCTCTCTCTCTCTCTCCCCCTCTCTCTCTCTCGCTTTTTCTCTGTCCCTCCCCCTCTCTCTCCGTCCCCCCTCTCTCTCCCTCCCCCCCTCTCTCCCTCCCCCCCCCCTCTCTCTCTCTCTCTCTCTCAATACCTGTAAACAAAGCCGGCCAAATTGAAGAAACTATACAGGCTTCTTAAGTGACTACGTAAATGCTTGATGAATCCTGGCCTTGAAGCATTCAAGCCTAATTCATCTTGCCTTACGCAACCACGCTGATGCTCATTAGTCCAATAAAGCGTCATTATTACGGTGCTTTTTTTTTAATTTAAACGGAATGTTAAATATTCGATTTGTTTGAACGCTCCAGGTATTAAGAACTAATGTTTATCTTGTTAGTGTGAAGGATAAGAGATATTTGTTATAATTATTCAAAGTCGTATCACGTGTGCGACCCATAACAGTTCTCGAGAACGAGAATGTCAACAGACTTTTGGTTTCAACCATATGTTTACAGACTTTTGGTTTCAACTATATGTTTACAGACTTTTGGTTTCAACCATGTTTACAGACTTTGGTTTCAACCAAATGTTTACAGACTTTTGGCTTCAACCGAATGTTTACAGACTTTTGGTTTCAACCAACTGTTAGCAGACATTTGGTTTCAACCAAATTCGAAGGTTGGAGTACAGGGATGCCTCGCACAATCAAATTTCAGAGGCTGGAGGCCACACAGTCTAATCCTTTGTGGGTATTTATGAAGATGCTGTCTATGGGCGCCTGACAGCTGTGTGAACAGCGCTTTAGATTCGTAGTCCTGAGGTTCCGGGTTCGATCCCCGGTAGAGGCGGAGACAAATGGGCAAAATGTTTCTTTAACCGTGATGCCCCTGTTACCTAGCAGTAAATAGGTACCTGGGAGTTAGACAGCTGCTACGGGCTGCTTCATGGGGGGTGGAGGCCTGGTCGAGGACACTAAGCCCCGAAATCATCTCAAGATAACCTATGGTATATCGTTTTCCCATCCAGTTCTCGTCATAAAACCTACACACTGTGTGTCAAGAGAGTGATGACCTGCGTCCAGGTCTGCGTTGGTTACTACTGCCTCGGTGTACAGGTAAAAGTGGATCAAGATTACCGACAAGGGAAAGGAAGACTTCAAGTGAGGAAAGGATCCTCAGTAAGCAATGACGACCCAAAGGGACGAGGGAAGGTCGCCCGGGATCCGGCTATACGGGAAATTAGCTGTCGCAGATTCCTGCTGAGGCAACGTGGTGTTCCTGAAGGGTGTGAATGCTGCCGGGAACCAGACAAGTGAGTCTGGTGGCTGTCACATAGCCTTGGTATATCACACGACAGGTAAAGACGTGTCTAGTAACAGTGATGAGGTGTCAGTTATTGGTGACAAGCATCATGTGGTGACATAGTGAGCCCTTGACAAGATGCCTAATATGATTGTCGACAGTGACAACACCTCAGTGACATTGGTGAAGTTCTTCATTTAAAAGGTTAAGGTCAACGCTGACGATTACAATAATTTTTGAGGCTTCATAGTGACAAAATTGGTGAACAAGATCTACAGGAACTGTGTTGACTACGGTAATATGACAAACTGTAGCGTACGAGAGAAGCTGTGAAACAAAATAGTCACTGAATAACAGAATAGAATATTCGTTTAACCATAATATATCTAGGGCGATACAACCCCCTCTACACCGAGACAAGAGGTGGAGAGACCAACCTCCCAACACAAATTACAGTACCTTTAACTTTGGATGGAATATACAAAACATGGCAGCCCATCCACCTAAAACAATAGTACTTATACCAAGTATTTGGTCAAAAGTACCAATATGTAGAACTGAACTACGCAAAAATTCCCTTTTGTATTATTTTATGGCATAAATGACATTCTTTTTAAATACGAAAAGAAACTTAATGAGCCTTATCTAACCTGTCCTATCTATCCTTGGCCTAATATACGTTATCTTAGACCTAATATAAATGGTGCTACACAGTCTCCCTGGCTTGATGCCTGTTCTTTCACTGTTCTTTTCCTTCGGATGTGGATGTGCAGCAATTTGGGTTGAGTCTTTGCCTTATTTGCTATGTCATTTTCGCACTGTCTTGCTGTTTTTCTTCTCACCTTGAGGTACTCATTCCAGGACCTCTGTTCTTCGGAGTCCTATTATTTTTGTAGTTTCTCCATGCCCTTGTATTTAGTTGCTTTGCCAGCTTACATCCCTGATAAAACCAAGGGATTCTCATTTGCTTTTATTTTTTTTCCTTTTGGACTGCAACCTTACATTTCTGGATGATGTAGCCTGTTATGTCTTTGACAGCCAAGAACTCTGAACTCTGTTTCCCTTTGTATCTATATTTGGATTTTTCCTCTCTCCGTGAAGCTTCCTTTTCGATACGCCAGGCTTTTGTTTTCTGGTCCCTTCCTTGAGTAAGTTATCCCTACTTCTCCCAGACACTCTAATATCAATACACTGTGGTCAATCATTTCTACAGGGGGAGCTTCGAAGTTGATTTCCTTTATGTCTGAATCATTAAAAAGTAAATACCAGGTAAAGTCTGTAGGAAGTATATTTAATAGCTGGGCCGTCGTTGCTACTCATTCTTATGGGTTCCCTTACATTCTGGCTTAAATAGTTTCTTGTTGCCTCATCCAATAGTTTACTTCTCTATGTTTCTACACCCTTCTGTGGTTCTTTATTCTCCCAGCTTCTCTTACCGGGCTGTGATGGGTATGTGGGGCCTGCGGGCCGCTCCAAGCAACAGCCTGGTGGACCAAACTCTCACAAGTCAAGTCTGGCTGCGGGCCGGGCTTGGGTAGTAGAACTCCCAGAACCCCATCAAACAGGTCTCTGAGTAATGATAATGCTGTTACTGTGGTTGTGTGTGTATTCATCTAGTTGAATTTATCATGTTGTCTTTGCTGAACTTTGCTGTTTCGGCCGTCGCCTCAACTGTCAATCAATCAACTGTTACTGACTGCTAAAAAAAAATTTACACACACACACACACACACACACCGGTGGCTGACTGGACAGCACGCTGGACGCGTGATCCTGTGGTCCCGGGTTCGATTCCCGGCTTGTTGTTGTTGTTTTAGATTTAGCTACTCAGAACGAAGTGTCCATGTAGCACGGGCTATGGTGAGCCCGTAAGGCGATTCCCGGCGCCGGCGAGAAACAATTGGCAGAGTTTCGTATTAATATACGAAAGTACATAAGGAAATTCCTGTTTCAATTTTCCTCCGTGGTCTGACACTGTCACATTTTTAATCACGTGTTTATTTTCGTGATATACACACACACACACACACACACACATATATATATATATATATATTATATACATATATATATATATCTGCTACTTTGACAGGGTAAAATAACTTACTAGTTTCAATAGCAGCTATTAAGCACTTAACCACTGAAGGTGATTTAAGATGCTTATGCAAGCTCAGCTTATAGTTACATCACATACATACATTCATTGTTTAGCTGGGAAGGGTGGATGTTGAGAATAACGGCAAAGCGTAGAGGCCATTGGTGTATTTCTATAGCTCAGTTCGTATTTTTAATGTAAGGTCTATTGTCAGTGGCTGCAGAGTGAGGGGGGGACCCCCCCCCTGCTCGTAACTAACCTTAGTTTATATATATGTCTCTCTGTATGTTTTATATATATGTCTGCCCGAAACGCTTTGCGTAATAGTGGCTTTAGGCATTGTATGTACTAGCTCTATAAATCCATCAACTTTTGTATCTTACCTTGTACGTATGTACCTTACCTAAATAAAAATATATTTATTTATTATTTATTTATTTATTATATTCCCCTCTCTACTCTCGTCATGTGTCTATTGTTTAATTCAAGCTAGAAAAAACATTCTGTAAGCTGGTGGCCTAAAAAAAATTATATTAATTTTAAATAATGTGATCATGTTATTCTGTCCATATCCAAAAATGATGTAGGTAAGCTGTTGCATCCAGTTCTGTAGGAATTCT